AGCATCAAGACTGGAAAATACAGAAAGTCATTACACCTATTTTATTTGTAATAAGGAGTTTGCAAAGTTCAAGAAAATAAAAGAACCTCAAAATAAATGTAATAGTACTTAATAATGTCCCACAGGCAGTTTCAGTCATAGTTACTAAAATATTTCCATTTTCAAAATTACCTACAACAGCATAAAAAAAAAATTGTTACTTGTCCAGACCAAAAGGTAGAAACTACCACTGTTATATCTCTTACAGTGATTGTCTTGAGCATCTGTTTCTCATCCATATGTGGAAATTTTGCTTAAAGTTTTGTTCATTTTCTAAACTTTCTAGAAATTGTTTCCTAAACAGTTATTAAGTAGTTTCTTTTCATATACAACGGTAGTTGAATTAAGACAGACACATAAGTTTCAATGCAGTAAGCAAGATTCTAGTGGAATTTACAGTTTAAAACAGATTTAGAAGTATCTGAATTCTTTGATTGGATTTGGCTGATTAAGGATATAATGTCCTTGAGCATTACTGTGACACCACCAGTGAAAGCAAATTAGAGTGAACATCATTATTCTCCTGTTAAAATGCGTACAGTTCAAGCTACTAAACTGCAGCACTAGGTAATATTGACAACAGTAGAACAAACTGACAATTCTGAAGGGAAAGACATTGCATAGAAACAAATCTGACACAAGGATACTTACTCAGATCTGAATACAGTGACCAGCATGTTTGTTCCAGTACTGCTTCATAATTTAAAGAATTTATGTTTTAAATAGCAGTTTCTTCTTTCTACCTAAATATCAGCCTTGTGCCATGCAAATAATACTGATTTCTCAATTTGCGCATGATTATTTAATTGCTGGAGCAAACTGAAAACAGCATGAGCTTTGTCTCAATTTCATTAATTTTACAGGATAGTAAATGAAAGGCCTTATTCCATGATTACTTTTGCATACACTGCTCTCAAGACTGCATGTAGAAGGATCTACATTAAGTAATAGAATACATTGATTGAGCAGAATTTTCCTCTGTTATTTCCTGATCACTCTACAACATTCCTTCATAAGCACCTTCAACATCCCAAATAATTATTTTTCATGCTGAAATAAATTAATACAAGACAGTTTTCAGCAAAAAGTAAATCAATTGTTAATATTTCGTTGCTAACATTCTCAGTGTAGGCACGCTTATACTTTGTTGGTTTTCTTTTAAAATATAAAGGGCTGATGGACTGAGGATGATTTGTGGGCAAGCTAACAGAGGGGGGGAAAAAAAAAAAATCAAGTTAACAACTTGAATAAAGATATCCAGCTGATATTTTTCCAAGGGACTGGGACTGCAACTGAAACACCCTTGCACACTTGAAACTCATTTTCATTTGAAGGGTATAATTCCCATGAGACTCCATGGCACTCATGTCTAATCTTTTATCATTTCGGTATTTTATCCCATCAAGGAACCGGTACCAATAAGCAACCTAAACTCCTCATTGCTTCATACTCCTAAAGGTCAGAAGGCAGAGCTAAGCAGAAAATACTCTTTCAAGCAGTGAAGATCAGCCGGCTGTCTTAGTAAATGAAAGACAGGTAGTAATAAAATGATACATGAGGATTTTTCATGAAACTATGAATTAATTTTTTTTTGTTGCTAAAATTATATTTATATTCTTGTTAATGTATGTCAACTTTTAATGCAACTGATTCTTGTAGAAATAAAGATGAATGTATTTTTATATCTATGCACTGTGGACAAAAACTTATTGGCTGAACTTGAAACACCAGATTATGGCATTTAGAGTACAAATTTTTTATAAACTACCAATATCTACCCTGAGAAATAATGCTGAAATACAGACAAAAAAAAAAAAAATCTGACTCCCAGCAGATCATATGCACTGTAAGATGAGTCAAATTTTCAAGGTACTTATTTCAGCCTCCAAATCGACTGTTCTACATATGTCACATAGACTGAAGTATCATTTCTTAGAAGAAACTCTCTAAAAACAGCTGTGAATGAAAGCAGTAATTATTGAAACATACATGTGAAGCTTTCTCCTACTTTCGAACTATCATTCTTCCAGACATGTGCAGCATGTGGGTCGAGGACTGATGAACCTCCAACTTTGAAGGAAGTATCTGTATGTCTGGTTTTGAGTATTATTTGATAGTTATTAGAGCTACCTGACAGCCAAAAAGTTCTCTTCTGATGAGCTGACACCCCTGCCTTAACTGTTGCTCACAGATACATGTTGGAAACCACTCAGAGAGACCCAATTCTATCTTATATAGCCATGCATGGATTCTCCGAGAACAGTGACATTTCTTGTTAAATGATAGTGAAATGCATTCTAGTTCTCCACATACTCCTGTTTTACATCAAAAACTACTGCCTGTAAATTTCTGGGTAAACCTGATACCAGGGTACAAGAGAGACATGAACTTACTGGAGCAAGTCCAGCAAAGGGCTACAAAGATAATTAAAGAATCAAAGCATCTGAAACACAAGAAGAGGCTGAGAGCCCTGGGATTGCTCAGCCTGGGAAAGAGAAGGCTCAGGAGGGATTTTATCGATGTGTATAAATACCCAATGGAGTGATGGGGAGAAAAGATGACAGAGTAAGACTCTTCAGATTTGTATCCGGTGAAAGCCCAGGAGGCGAGGTACACAAATTTAAATACAGGAAATTCCATTTAAGTGTAAGTTAAAACATTTGTTACTGCAAGGATGATCAAACACTGGAACCAAAGTTGTGGAGTCTACATCCTCAGAGATACTCAAAACCCCGTGAACGTGTCCTTGAGCAATCTGCTCTAGTTGACCTTCCTTTGAGCAATGGGGTTGGACTCAACAATCTTCAGAAGTCCCTTGTCCCCTCCAGCCTCACCTATTCTCTGTTTCTACTGCAAGATAAGACGTTGCAGATGGCTATGACAAGCAACTGAGTAGAAGACAGGGAGATGGATTTGCACAAGTTCTAACTAGTAAGAAGCCGTGATAGACTATCTTCTTTCTCAAAACCTCTGGTAATTTATGCATTTCTGCTTTCTCATTCTCTTGCTCATTAACATATTTTACAAACAATGTCATAGGTCATGTTTGACAACTGTAACTCTCAGTCTTGTCACCTGATATCTGTATTGCTGTCTGCTCTGTTTAGATCATAAACATTGAGAAAAGGCAAGCTCAAAACCTGGATATTATACCTTTTTCAAGTGAGGCAATCAAAATCACTAATCATATTTTGAGGATATAAATAGGAATATGAGGAGCTTTCTGTTTCAGTGAGAAGTTGATATTTGAGAGAAAGAGGCATTAATGATGATTTCTTTTTTTATACTTAGAGAGATAAGGCTGAAAAGAACTTAAACATAAATGCTTTGGTGTTTTTCGTATTTTAGAATAGAAACATAGTTTTAAAAAAATAATTTTCCTTAGTAATTAGTCACACCATTTTAAAAATGCAAAAAATTTATAAACAAGAACAGCTTTTGCAGATTTTTTCCCAGTTTGGTGGCACTCAGTTAAAACTCCTCCTACGCATAGACTGAGTGCCATGTATCACACTGATTTGGGATTTTAACATTTTCTTTCTAAAAATGTATATCAAAGAAGATACAAACAATTCATACAGCATGCATTTTTCCATCATGACCTATAAAATACACGTTTTTACCTTCAATATAATAGGATCAGCTCATTAGGCTTGTATTCTGTAAACAGCTTGGAAATGTATACCAAACAAGCCAGTGAAAATTCATACCCAGAAGCAGATGGTGAGAATAGCAAAGCTAAGCAAAGAGAGGCTTAATTGCAAATTCTATCCAACTAAGCAAAGAGGTGGTATTATACATTCACAGGCATTTTCTTCAGAAAGGAACCCAATTCATCATCATGCAGGTTGAGGCAGGGGAGGGCACTTCTGTGCCATTCATCAGGCCAATGACTACTTGGAGAATTGCCACCAATTAAACAGTATTCGTGTACAGTTGGCACCAACTTCATAGTGCTGCATGCTACGTAAAATTTTATGGCTTGTTGTCTTGCCAAAAGCAACACATCTAATGCTTTTTCTGTTAAATTAAAAATCAACAAGAGATTTAAAGTTGGCCTTCTACAAGAAGACAAGTAATTCAATTTACTCTGGTACAGTTCTCATTTAGAATGAGCCAAATTAACAGTGCCTAGACAAGGTATGTAAGAAATAAAGTCACATTATTATAAAGTTTTAGTATTTCCCTACTTCTTCTTCACCTCATAATATTCAAACATGGAGATAAGAGAAAAAATCATTTTGTGACCAAAAAAAGAACACTGATGAAAGAAAAGTGCATTTCATCCTTGAAAACGATGGTACAATCACTATAATAACCTTTATTGAAGCTTTTCCTGAGTGTGTGAGCATTTATTCCATATTCCAGCAAGATTTCTTTGCTTTAACTGATTATTTCATTGATCTAATTTACTATTTAACATGACTACACTAGATATCTTTAGAAAGCGAGGACTCCAAGACCTGGTACCATATCTGTCCAGAACCCAGTATGTCATTACTTTTGTTAAAATTTCAACATAAGAAAAAATAAAACAAATCTTTTTCAATAGGCAGGTGTCCAAGGAATGCCGAAGACAGACAAGGGACAGCTTTCAGAGAATGATTCCTTATTTTTTAAATTTAGTATTAAAGTATAAAACTCTCCTGTGAAAGAAATCACATCAGCTTTCATAACAGCTCAGTCAGATTGCACTAAAGTTTACTTCTTACTCTTTCAAACCCATATAAAAGTAAATTCCCCATTAAATTTCTTACAGGATCCTGTTTTATCTTCAATTACAAGCCAAGAGGGGTTTGGGGGAAAGGATTGCTTTAAGAGATTCAATAATATTATTACCAAACATGGGAGATAATATCCATTTCCTGAGGGCCTCTAATAAAAGAGCCATCATTTAAGCAATAGCAGAGGAAATAACACAAACAGATACAAATGTCACATTGAGAACTGTTGCTCATTACCTTCTAGGTGCTCCATCCTCATGTGGTTGAATAATCACCACTTTTACTGTTACTGATGTACGTAAAAGGTCAATCATTTGTTCATGAGTCAAAGTTGCCACAGCCACTTTACAGATCTCAACCAGACGGCTCCCCTGCCGTAGGCCTGCCTTCCATGCAAAACCAAAGGGCTCCACATCTGCCACTATCCCTTCAAAGTTCACGTGGAATCCAAGTTGGCCCAACCCATTCCTCCGAAGGGTCATTTCCGTGGTTTCACATCCTCTGGTCACTATCTAAAAAAGTATCAGACTGTTACACCATTGTTAGGACACTCACTTCTTTGGACACACAAACAGATCTGTTTTCAAATGCAACAAAGCCATACATTAAATATCTTTAATAAACTAATATTAATCATTATTTTAACATTTGTGGTTGAATGAAAGTTTCTGCATAAAATAAAATTAAATGAACAAAACATTTCTTAATGCTAAAAATCTTACATTCCCAGAGCAACCAGCTGACCTGTGTCAAGTCTCTTCCCTCTTGCCCAACATTAACATAATACCATTTATACCTTATTAAAAATTTAACAGCTGCTTTAGTTTCAAAACACAAAACAAGCAAAATGCTGTCCTGTCAGTTACTTCATTCTTGTTGGCTGACTGACTGCAGGTGTGCAGGCATTTTTTCTTCAGTATTAGACAGTATTAAACTTGAGATATAACATGAGCCAAATTGAGTGAAATGTTTCAGTTCTAGCAGCTTTTCTTCCTCAACAACATAGCAGTGAAGATAGTTTTGATTTATTTTGCCCTGTAGACAGATTCCTAATGACCACCATCTCCAGATGTGGACGTCACTATGGGAATTTAGAAACAAAAAAAATCACTTTCTTCATATTCAATGAAAAGTAATTCTGTCATTACAGAGAGTAGCCAAAATCCTTCAAATTCAGGCTTTGCTAAGCAAGCTCATTTCTATGTAACAAGTCCTCAACAGTTTTGCCCAGTAAAAAATAAACATAAAATAGTGTGTATGCTGGGATATTGTACCAGACTCTGAAGACCAAATACTAGTCCACATTACAAGGTAAGTTTGTGAGTTAACCCTAACATTCCCTTCTGCCAGTGTCATAAAACCAGTATGTATTTTAGCTCCATTAGTACCATTAGAACAAAAACTTAACCAGTATGAAACATTATCAAAAATCTTTGTTAATAATGCATATCATTCAAAGATCTCACACTCTAGCAAGGCAAATATCTGCCCTTTAGAGATGCATATGTCACAGTACAGATCCAGGGATCTTCCCAAGGTCATGCTGCATTAAGAGCAGTTCCATAGAGCACTTTGTTCCATTAAGATGTTCATATGGTTGCTTTTAGCATGCATTACAGAGATACACACATTACGCAACTTCAGGAATCTAATTTAAGGTGCTTAAATTAGGACGCTAGTGTCTTGCACAGTCAGTTGTACAGGACAGGTTTTTGCAAAAGCTGTTTTATAGCTTGAGCTATAATTCAGGAGGCTATTTTGGAAGAGTCATTTCCCACCTTCATTGTCTACTTGAGCCAGAACCTGGGCAGCCTAGCTCACTAGTTTATTGTGAGCTTCCCAGAGCAGCATGACCCAACGTAATCCCGGGCTGCATGGCAAGAGAGCGGGACTGTGCATCTAGTGAGATGTTGGCACTGTGACTGAGTAAAGCTGTCACAAAACTGCTCCTTTCAATACCTGAGTCAGATACAGTTGACTCAGTGCAGTTCCATGGGAGGTTTAAACTGATCTAAGACCCTATTACCACTACACTGTCCCTTGTACTGCATTAGCACTTCTGCACCCATGCAGATAGATCAGAGATGTGATACAACTGAAAATGAGGTTTTTTTTTTTTTTTCAATAGAGTTCCAAAGGGGTGGCAGGGAGGAAATTGATGGGACTGTCTCCTTCACTGGCAACTATTCTGAAAGTACGTCTCCATCATCAACAAAGGAACTTAACACATAGCAAATATTAACTTGTAAGTTACTTTTGTAGCTTCCTTTTTACACTTCCTGTTTAGACAAATCTTTTGTCCAAGTCTCTTATAGAGTCAGGGGTGAGAAGCCTAACTTCTACTCTTTTCCCAGTCCAATGGCTGGGCTGACTGGAAAAATTCTGAAGCATTTGTGTAACTTATGCTTGCAACTTGGTTGGTGACTGAAAGTCACAGTTTCCAGTACCTTAGTAAGTTTTAAAGCACTATTGTCTTTACAGAGTATTTCTAACATGGATATCTGTCACTCAGTAGAAAAAATTAGAACTTGCACACGTGAGAACAAGTGCCACAAAACCACAAGTTACTCTAAGTTTGCTGATCTGAGGGAGCTGATCCATGCTCATGCTTTTAACCTGCAACAAATCAACATAATGAACTACAGTTAGCCCCTGTTCATTAAGGGCTCATCTTCACTTAGCTGTGAATCACTGGAGAAAGATCTTGCAAGGATCTGATATTCTGAGAATCATTGCTTGGCAAATTTAGGCTACTTAAACTGTAGTGCTTTGATTTCATAAATCTTCCAGTTATTTCTGAAGATGTAGAGGCTTGAAAGTTAAAACGTGAAAGTAATTTTTGAGACATCCAAAATGTACTCTGGAGGTTTTGTTTCCAAAATCGTGTTCTGGGTCTTCCTATCAGAAAAAAAAACAGCTATTTCCTTCATCATTATTCAGCTCTGTTTCTGGCACCTTTTAGAAGCTTTGTATTTTAAACAGAACTTTGTTGTGTTTATAACTGTGTATATAGTATTAGAGCTATATGGCATGCTGATAGCACTAAGTTTTAACTCTATTTTTCCAGCTCTGAGGTTCATCTTCAGTCACAAATAATTTTCAACAAGACTTTCATAATTTCTGAACTAATCGGTGAAAATGAAATTTTCAGCTCTTTAGTTTCCCTACATGTCTGTCACAAGTTTCTAAAATATATACAATATTTAGTCATTCGGCGAAAAGAAAAACATGCTATTAGTCAGGAGCCCAGCTGAGGGATGAAATATTATCCATATGAAACTACACAGTAGTCTTCTGGGGTTAAAGACGCCTCTTTATCCTTATGTCATAATTATAGAATACTGCAGAATGAAGGCACCAGCCAAATTATATGGATTTCCCCAAATTAGAGCACTCAAAATCTCCTCTTCAAGTTAGTCAAATATTCACAAGTTAAAATAGAAAGAAGATAAACATTCCTGACAAAGATTCATCAATTCCCAATGGAAATGATTCCAGGAGATCAAATCCTCCACAAGTATATCCCCTAAAAGGTGACACTGCATGTTACATAGTAATGTCACACAAAGCATAGTGCTGTTCCACTTCAAAATAGGTCATTTGGCTTACTTGGTTGCTGTTTCACTGAACGTGTGACTGTGCACAAATCAAGAGCCAACTTCTCTGAATGCACTTAATACAGGTGAAATTAAAAGACAGAAATTTTGTTTACTCAGATTCTTGTCTAAAGGTCCATTCAGGGTTTTCATTTAATCTCCTATGTCTGCCATTCTCTGTTATCTGAAAGCTCAGAGCAACTGCTTTTTCTGCCTTCGAACACATCCTGACAAGTTAATCTATAGTTTGCTTTTGCTGCTCTTTCTACTTTATATCACAAGATATTTTCCCCAACAAATACAGATCTGACTCTAGATTGACAAATCTCAGCTCTTTTTTCAGTCCTGAACTGATTCTTTTGGTTCAAACCAAAATTAGTCTCAGCTCTTAATATCTTTGCTTTATCTGAATGACTTAAACCCAGGCAATAAAATGTAGTTATTTCTTTGACAATCTCATTTAGTAACTGCAACATTTTATTCACTGGTTTTAAGAAATGTTTCTACTAGTGACTGAAAAGGGTTAATCAACTGGTCACTGAAGTTTGATATTATGTCACAGTTTGAGATTTTGTCTTTAGCATCTGCTGGCACATGTGGTTGTTAACTTTCACTGTGTTCTGAGTCACTTAAAAGGTTGTTGAAGGATGCATATGAAGTCTGGAATCAGAGTTTTAAATACTTTTTAGTGGTTGTAATGGTCTCCTCTGAGCTTCTACATCAAAATGTATATAAGGACTACTTAGAAAGCATTCAATATCATAAACCAACTAGGGGATAACATCAATAGGCAGCTTTCAAAAGAGAAGAAGCAGCAGAGAAAAAGAAGAAAAATATGAGGTAAGAAACATGGATGAAAAAAGTTTTAAAACAAGTAAAGACAGCTAATTCTTTTAAGTAATGTGAAAGTTGGATAGGTGGCAGTGAAAGACAGAAGGCAGACAACGTTAATTGGAATAGATACTTGAAGCTAACGTTTGGGTTAACTTGACAGTAACTGATGATAACTTTTTGAGGCTGAAAGCCAATTTGTCATTATTTAACCCTAAATCTGACCATAAAAAAGAGTAAGTATTCAGGCAAATACAGATAACCATTTGATTTTGTGGTTTTAATTACTGAATTTTAAGGATCCATCCACAGCAGCTGGAATATTTCCATGTTCTGTGAAACCGAAGAAGTGAAAGACAGCAAAAGAAATTGTCATTGATGACAGAAGTTTTCACTGGAACTTTGAATCTTGCCTTCTATCTGTGTTAAGCAATTTATATTGTTCATTTAGCAATACTTACTAGAAATGAACTACCTGTACACTATTTTTCAGATGAGAAATATCTGCCTAAGGAAAGTGAAACTGAAGACCTCAGTGAAAAGGATAACATAATAGTGGCAAGAAGAGTTTAAAGACATTCATCTGTCGAAACATTAATTGTGCTTTGGAAGAAAAAGGTTATTATTTAGAGCATGATACTGAGCAAAGCTAAATGTGACTACAGAGGCCCTAAAACATCAGCTGCAATCCAACTGTTCCAGTGTAAAAATGGTAAGCATAACGATTTCAGTACTGGGCTTTCTAATATAAACAAAATTGAGACCATCCAGATCTCTTGAATTACTATCAAATGGTGAATGAAGTAGATGCATGAGCATTTTTACCCTGAAGCTCCTGTCAGTTCATTTGTACTGACTGAATTAGCTACAGGACAGTTGTGCTAACAGGGTCATCTAGGATCTGAAAACCTTTACCCAGTCAGCTGTAATAATTGGTCTAGTTTTCTTTACTTCCTGCAGTTGCTCAGTATAGAGGAACAAATCAGCAGAATCACTTATACAAATTTTTCTGCTAAAATTCACATGGGCTAATATAAAAAGTCCAAGTGATAAATTTTACACATTAAGGTTTTGTATCTACCTGCAAATGTATGACTAGAGGAGAGACTACAGCAAAAGGAGACAAAAGCTTAGTCTTTCAATCCTGATTTCAGCACCAAAACAATCCATGGCCTTGGGCAAAGCTATCAGATTCCTCAGGCCTGAAAATGGGTTGATAGCACTTATCTCATATGCTGTTGTGAGGATTATTGTCTGTAATGCTCTCTGAAGAGTGAAAACACTCCTGAAGTATAAACATAGGACATCTATAATTGTATCTCAAAGGAGATGTAGACAAGTAAATCTTTATAAAAAGTTTGGAATTCCAGTTTAGAAACTGTACTTACTTCAAGTCTTTGAACAATTTCTCTGATGTCTTCAGTACAATTATCTGCTGCAGACAGAAGAATACATTCTCCTCTTTCATAAAATATTTTGATGCTCATTAATCCAGACGTCCATCCAATAACATCTCTGCAGGAGCAGTTAAACACAACGTTTTTTGATTCCTTTTCAATCAACATGATAAACTCATTGGAGATTCCAAGGAGACACTCAATGTCAGCAGACTGGCCAAAATCTCGTGCAATCACATTCCACATAATCGCTCCAACACTGAATAGATGTGCATCTTTCCTTGGTTTCACTTTTTCCTTTTTTTTTGCTCCTAAAGTAATAAAGCTAAACTTTGCGGAAGTATCCACTGTAGCTGTGGTAACAAAATTTTCTGCCAGATCTTTCAAGTATTCTTGACGTGTCCTTGTGGCCATGGCTCGAAATTTTTCTGACTTATGTGCTGCATTTTCAGCATTAATAACTTTGGCTAAAAGGAAGTCCCTAAAGACTGCTGATTTGGGGAAAGTCACTCCTTTGGGAATGGGTGGACCGAATGGAGGTACATCCTTTGATCGTGAAACACCAACACTGGAAATAGAAAGAAAAAAACACAGTGGTTGATTCCTAAAAAAAAAAATCAGATGATAAGCAGAACTGTGATCTGTGCAGTCCATTTACGCAGGTAGGTTCAACTTTGACACGTCAATTTTCAGAGATTTTAGACACAAAGAAACTGATCAGCTTATCTGTTTTAAAATGGCTTTTTTCTTTTAAATATATAAAAGACATTATGAATGTATCTTACTAACACAAAAAATATCAAGGATGACTTCTTAGGGTGTCACTGTCTCCTTTAATTAAATAAATATAAATATGGTTTGCGAGATGTATTTTTAAAAATTATTTTCTTTATGTAAGTCTGACTATCATTTTCAGCTGACACTCAGCTGCATGATCTTAAAACTAAAAAATATATAAATAGAAACAGAATTTATTAAAATCCTTCGGACATATTGCTACAATGAAGTGTGAAGACAAAGAAACTGGTGTCAAATGTGTCCATAATGGGAGCATTCTGCACCTGTTTAAGTTGCCTGCTCTATGCTCATAAAATTAAAAAATACCTGTCATTCTTGATATGGACAGCTCACAGCAAGATGTAAAAGAAACACAAATATTTTCTCATTGATACAATTATACCTACAACTGATATCTACATAATGTATTTCAACTGAAAAAGGATTTCAAAATACTGTGCAAACTATGTACAACTACTACTAGTTTGACTGAAATGCAGTCACATTTGGGATGACAGACAGACATCATTTAGTAATAAGAAAAACGTAACTTATGAAATGTCATGTATCATTAAACACAAAAGAGCTACTGAAACAAAATCGAGTTCTAAGAGATAGCTTAAATTCTAAAATACAGCAATATGACCCGATCTCATAATGTATTTCAATTTGATTCTAACCAATGAATTAATAACATTTATACATGCTAAATCTATGCTATTATGATTCAGGTCCTTATCATTATTTGCACAATTCCCAATCAGTTCAGAACTATGCTTCCACCCTGGTTATCTTGCTAGAATTCAGGATGCAGTAATTTAAATGTGAGAACTAAGGTCATGTGAAATTTTAAATGCTTTTATACTCTCCAAAAGTCCTCATTCATGTGCTTAAAGGCCATGACTCATCCCAGTAACATACTGTCATACTCAGGGATTTATACAGGCTAATAGCCTTCCAAAATACTTTATTTTAAATCACTTTTTTTGAAAAAGGAAATGTGCAATACAAATTCTAAATTAATTTCTATTGTTATGTCTGCAAATCTTATTTTCACTAACTTGTTATATTCTCATTTTGTGCCTATAAATCAGCAACAGAGTCCTGCACATACCCACTTAAGTCTACAAACTGTCCTCCATGACTCTAGATGTGTGTGAGGGAGACATTGGGGTTTCAAACTCAAAGAAATTGTAGCAGAAGTTTTAAAATTGTATACATAATATCTCTAGGAAATACAAAACTGTTAGAAGAGGCAGTTCCATTGTAGTCTTAACAACAAATAGTTATAAGGCTCTACTCACCTATAGCACACATTTTCAGTGCAAGGATTATGCACTTTGACTATGACAAATACATGTTGAAAGTGGGAACGAATATTTTTTGGAGTAAAAGGAAGTGCTCCTGGCTCTTGGAAGACAATGGTAACTATGTCATTTCCTATATGCCTTTTCCTTAGCAGCTAGACAAGAAACATGCATTGAAAAATTAGTTATAAAAAAAAAATAATCACAATTTCTTAATTTTAGAAAAAAACCCAAACAAACAAACAAACAAAAAACAAAACCAAACCAAAATAAATGAAGCTTAATTTTTCAGAAATAACTCTTAATTAATCATATTCCCGATAGTTATAAATAAAAGATACCAGACTGAACTGCAAAAAAGATAGGGAAAGGAAACTGAGCTAAGTTCATAAAAATACTAGTGAGTTCTCTTGAATCCCCACACTGGTTCTGCAAAGTTTCTGCTTATTTCTCTCTTATTCTATGAGAAAAATATATTTCTCTTACTTTAGCACATCACTTCAGTAACAGAAAAATGTTATATCACTTGACATTTCTCACTATCCAGAGAACTCTACATCAGTTCCCTCTTTATAGTGTAATATTTGCTTCTATGTGAAAAATATAATATTGCTTTTCTTTCTCAATAAACCTTCCTTTCCCATGTTGCATTTTTATTAAATGTTGCCCTTAATATTATGATCTAATTTTTTTTAAAAAACAGGTTATCATGAGTACTCATCACCAATTTTAACAGCTGCATAATTGAGGAACAGAGTTAAGACTCATGGAGAAACAATAGCTATCAGGAACTCATTAATTACTCTTGTAAATGGTAGCTTTCATCATCAAAATACAATTAAGGACTAATTTAAAGTACTAAATCATTGTTACTGGCTAAAACTTAATAAAAACTACAAAATATGTCCGGCAATAAAGGACCACTTCTCTGTCTCCCACTCAGAAAAACCCAAAACAACACAGTAAAATGATGTTCTTAAATACCTTTGCTTATAAAACATCCATGTATATTACCAGATGGAAAAAAGTAGTCTAGCATGTGCTACATTTAAGTCTGCCAAAGACCTTGCACTGAAAACTAACAGCATACAGACACTTAAAGCTTTACCTTAGCTCGTGTCTACCTAAAAATGGTATAATAATAAATGTATTTGAAAACTTTGAGAGAACAAGTAAAAATTTCTCTATTGAGCTGATTTTACAGAACATTTCTAATAAAAGAGTATTTGCTTGTATTTTCTCAGTTCCATTAAAAGTTAGAATTTCAGCTACCAACAAAATAAGCAAAGTTGCACATGCTAAAGCCTAAACCCCATAAATACGTATCATTATATGTCTTAAAATAACACCAAGGATGCTATTCTAAAGGTAGTAAGAAGGTCCAAAGCCACATTTTTAAAGCACTCAGTATATCTGTATTACTTTAAATATAATAGAAGTCCCAAATGCAGATTAAAGAAATAAGACTTCTGATGAAACTTTAAAATGGATATAAAATCAGAAAATAATATTTGGTATAAGTCATGTGGCTCATGAAGTTTTCAGGTTTTTAAGACTAACATCAAAATAACTGGCTATTTGAGCAATTTAAGATATACATCCTGTTGCATACAAATTACAGTGGAAGTACACTACGTGGAACTGATCACAGAATTAAGTGTGTCAGGTATACTTTAATTTGCTGAGCTAGTGAACCATACAATTAGATTGTAGTAGTGAAGCACATGTTCATGTTTAGAGGTTATTATTATCTCACAGGTTGGAATTTATACTGCAGTCCAATTTGTAAGAAATCTCCCAATTATGAGGTACAAGGTGATTAATTTCTGCCTTTGTTATATAACTAACTGCCCTATTACTCTTTCTCGCTATAGTGGTTCATGCCTATGCCTATATGTTTCCATAGAAGAAAATTACAAAAAGTGGAAAGCAACAGCCTGTTTAAAGTTCATTTTATTTCTCAAGACAATCACCATTTTCAATAATATTTTCTGCTTTTGTAGACCTCCTTAGGAGGTTCTGCTTGCTATCATAGGTTGCTTAAACAAGAAAAGCAGTCACTTAATAAGAGGTAAGTTTTAGAAATGTTTGAAATTTTACTAGCAAAAATAGTCTTTTCAAAATTATGACAGTTCACATATCCTATTCCTAAACTATTTTTCAAGAGCTTAAACCCCTAAGAGGCACAAAAGTAGGAAGTAGGAAGTCATGTCATCATTTTTTAAGAACCTTACCAATCTTGCAGAGATCTTAGTGACTTCTTCAACGTTTTAAAATAAAATCAGTGTAACGCTGTTATAAATAACTGTCATGCAAAAGTGGTTGGTGAACTTCAACACAATGCAAAGGCAAAGCACAGTCATGGCTGTGCAGAGAATATCATAATGCAAAGAAGTTGGAAAGGGGAGAGAAGTAAACTGAGGTGATCTGGAAGATGGAAAGAAGTGCTCTGGATAGGATAAAGGAATAGGAAAAGAATAACGTATCAAGTGGAGAAGAAGGAGGGAACACATACTTCCCTGGGAAATGTGAGGTAAGGATAGCATACTGAAAATGAAAAAGGAATTGAAGGAAACCGGAACTAAGCAAAAAGATTTCTACCCTTTTCTAGTTTCCATTCTATAACCTAGATTTTCCTCCCAACTTCTACTTCCTTGGTTTTTTTTTCAGGTTCTCAGTTTCCCCTTCCTCTCCCATTTTGAGGTCTGCTCAGGTTTGGGGGTTTTGGGGGTTGTTGTATTGCTATTTTTTTTTTAATCTGCCTTTCTACCATACTCTGAAGAGTCTCATGCCAATGCAGGGCACAATAAGAACTCTTAACAAGGTGCACAGATCACAGAGAATTACTTATAGTAAGGAAACATCAAACACAACTTGACATCATTCTATTATCAATCTAAATTGGCATAATAGAATTTGAAAATGAACCCAATGAAGTACAATAGGCAGCCAAAAGGAAATCACTGAAGTTTTATGTAAGTACAGAAGACACGCAAAGAGGAGTCCAGTTAGGAAAATATGTTAGAAAAGCAGAATCCATTAGATTAAAATTATTTATACCAAATAATAGTTACTATATTAATTTTGAGATTGTAATTACTCAATTCTTAGTTTGCAGATATGCATCTCTGAAGAAAAGTACTGTCTTAAAATTTTAGCATTTTTACAGGTTATGCCCAGCCACAAAAATCTATCCACTTCTGTGGAATTTTAATTGCCTAGTCAAACCGCAAAACAACAAGGAATTCTTGTTGAAATAGCACTGAAATGTATTCTTTATTCAGTTAAATGATGAAATGTTAGAAGTCAAATATAAAAATCTTCAAACTTATTTAATACGTTTCTAAAATAAGTGGTTTCAGAAGTTTTATTTTTAATTTGTGTTCTTAACCAGTACCAAAACCAGAAACAACTGGCAAAAGATATTTCATCAGATCTGGTTAAACCAAATTTGGTATAACCATGTCTTGTTATCCCACCCATTTTAACAGTAGCTCAAATTCAAGAAGTTTATTTCATTATTGCATATCTGTTTAATTTTTAATTTTTCATTGAATCAGGTGAAAACTGATTATTTGAACTAATTTGGATTAATCAGGTCTGACCATGTGTACACAAGCAGACTGCAAATGTGTGAATGGGAGACTTGCAAGGGAATGTTTTGGAAAGGGACATTGCAAAGGTAAAGTTTAAAGGGGAAAGCCTTGAACTATGATTTGAAGAAAAGGCCAGTAAAGGAAAAGAAACTGGCCACACCAGGGCTGGTAGTCTTTTCTGTCCTAGGGAAGGAGCAGCTGACTTGAAAGTTCCCAGCCTATGTTGCAGCCAAAGTGAAAATTACCTTGCTCTTTCGATCTCCTGCTGGCTCTAAAACTAGAGGGATGTCCTGATCAGGGACCAAGCAGGGCGTAGTTATGTCCTGGAAGAAGCAACAAACAATTCTGGTGTGGCCTATTTTTGGCTCACAGGTATTTGGAATCTAAGCAATGCTCAGTACTTGCTTGTTGAAGATCATAGTCCTAGATGATGAAGAGGGACTCAATACCTTGCCCCGTCATTACCAAACAAGGGACATGGGGATAGGACACCATAACCTTATTGCCAGTACATACACAATATGCTAGCAAAAAGTAACTATTGAATGGGGGTCTTCATGGCTAACATAACCTAAAAGGAAAATTACCATGGGGTCTAACCTCCCCCTTATTTGGGTATGTAGGGTTAGTGAGCTGAACCCTGAAGAGACAAACAACATTCATATTCCACAGCACCTGTAAGTCTCTCTCTGTCTTGAACACAACTGTTACAACTGCATCTGTGGTCTTCAACATCTAAAATGTCTCAGTGAAAAAGAACTAATTGAATTTTATCGTAGCTTAAGAGAAATAACACTGTTGATACACACTTCAGTATGTATTTTGGAAATAAACATTAATAGAAGAAAATTAAAAAATCGTTAGAGATCCCCTATGCACATTAAGGCTGGCTAAATTCTGGTTGTTTGGGTGCACTTGTCACATTTGATTAAGACAGTGTCCATGCTGTGCAAATACCGCTAGATCTCAGCACTTAAAAAAATAATGTGGTGGGTCTTCAGATAAGCATACTACTTGAACTACTTGGAAACTGCCACTTTATTTTGATCCCAAGAAAGCCATGAATAACAACATGGTGATTCTACTAAATATTGAACCTGTTAAAGTGATAATGACGAGAGCTTACTAAAACACTGTGGAAGGGAGTGCTTGTTGCCGGGGAAAACCATGAAGTTAAAATTGGAAGATCTTGCTGTACACAAGAATCGTCACCTGACTATAAAGACAGACACATAAGGAAATTAAGAGAACGAAATGAAGGCACAGGAAGAATTGAAAGGACAGTAATAGAGGGTGGCAACACAGCAGTGAAGCTGACAAACAGCAAACAATTATGAAAATTAGTGAATCCTGGCAAGAGGATATCCTGTTCTCACAAACAAGGGAAAGTCATGAAAGATAACAACAAAAGTAATAAACTCCAAGTAAGGCCATATTTATTGTCAGTGCCTGTGATTAGCTATGAAAATATTATTTTTTCCTTTTAAGGCAAGCTCATTCAGTGTATTATATCTTCTTAAAAGCGTACAGTTTTCTCTATTTACATGTGCTTTCCAGTCAAAGATTGCTATGACTGATTACAGACAGAACAACTCCTAGTGTGTTTACTAAATTAATCTTGCATTGTAATAAGGTATAAGTGAAAGTTTAGAGAAGTGGAACAATCTCAAATCAGTGATGATGATGCAATACCTTGATTAATAGCTATTGGCACAGTTGAGTGCATGAAACAGCTGAACATTCTGACTCCTGAAAGCCACACATTTTAAGATGTGAGTCACCTAAACATTCATATTATTCATATGGTGAAGAGTTTCTGTCTCTTGCTTTCTAATTTGGTTTCTTTAAACCACATCTAAATCCTAAGTGTAATGGACTAGAATTTGCAGTTGTCTTAACTGTTCACTTGAAACAGTTCTTCAAACAGTTCAGAACATTACGCACTATTTAAAATACATAAATATTTTTTTCTAGCTCGATTCGCATTGATAATTTCTCAATAATTTTAATTGTTTTATTTTATCTTTTTCTTACTGCCTTGACATATCACTTTTTTCCCACAAGACCTATTGATAGGGTAGACATGAAAGATACAACTCATATATGGTTTAACAATCAGTAACCATTTTTTGTATGCTCTTCAATAAAAAAGTGAGATGGCATCTTTATTTCATGACAACCCTCCAAAATGACTGAAATCTTTGTATCCTGCATGGCAATGAGACAATATTCTAAAATTAACTAAATAAATCCACCTTTCATTTCTGCAGACCTAGAAAAATGTGCAGTAGTAGCACAGAAAGTTACGAATCATCATTAGTCTGACCTATAAGCAATTCTACTGCCTTTTTTTTTTTTTTTTATGTGTAAATGTTGATATATTATACCAAATGTGCTTGTACTTTTTAATTTAGTCACAAGAAATATCAGAGACAGGCAAGACAGAGTAACCTTACTGGTGCATTGCACACTTTGGATGTTGTGATGGTTTTTAGCCATCCTTATTACATAAACAAAGGAAATCCTCTACAAATAAAATAAGCACACTGAGGTTTTCTGTCTTCACAAGCAGACACCTTGAAGGATACAGTTAAGCATTTATTACTAAGCTAACACATTAATAAACATTTCAAGATCTGTAATGTAAGGATTAAGTGTAATTGTTCTAGAAATCTTATTACATGCATATTTTAACCATAAGACTATTTTCAAGCTTCATTCCATTCAATGTTTAAAACATACATAAGATGTAAATCCAGTCTGAACTTGAATTAATTCATTCACCATAGGCAACATTACTTTTTAAGAATATGAAATGGGGGAGATAGAATAAGTTCCTGAATTACATAATATAAAAATTCCATGAGATTTCCAATGCCTTATAATATTTCAAGGAAAAAACCCACAATTGAGTCATACTTCATATAAACCAATTCAGTTTTAAATCAGTATTACTTTAAAAAAAATCCTCAGGGTCAACATTTATAATGTAAAATTACAATGAGAGTTTAAAATACATACCTGTTGCCTGTTACTGGGCATGTATGGAAGCATTGTTGATACATGAAACATTAATTCATAATCTTTATAGGTAGTATAGAGGGAATGAGTTCCTGTTGAATCAGCTGAAAATGAATTTAGTCACAAGAAGGTCAGTAAAATAGAACATTCTTACTACTTTTTAGGACACCACTCTGCATGCTATGATTTAAATCTATTAATTTAATTTAAAACTTTTTTTAATAGAACAAGAACAGTTTGCATCAGCTAAAGATCTACTCTTTAGCTTCATATTACGACATAGGAGGGTCCTGCAAGAAACTGCCCAACAAGTTTGCTGTCTGAGGCCTAAATGATCTATTTTTTAATATACTGGCATTTCATGAAAAAAGAACAAAGATTTAGCTACTTTAGTTTTATATAATATATATATTTTCATCATTTAAAACATTAATGACGACAATTGATTAATCCCATACTTTACCAAAAATAAACTGACAATACTACTTCAAATCTGATATTGACACACATATTGTAGGTCAGACATTTTAAAAACGTAAAACATTACATAATACATTCTAGAACAATGTCAAATCATTTTACTGGCATTTTCAGATCTTTTAAAATTAATAAAATGCATTTAATATAAAATATTACTTAATATTTTAATCTTTTATTTAGCATGTTTATTAATAGTATTTCAGAATGTTTACAGCAAATTAGATGAGTTTTACTCTGTAGTCATAAATTAATCCTTTTCATTCACCTTCTTTAATATGTATGGATTATTTAAGTACGTACAATTAACTTTAAAGGAGGAGGTTGGAAACATGCTATTGAGTCAAAACAACTCAAATTTTCTTCTCTTTTCCTCACTCTTTTTTATGCAATTTTATATTTTCTACACCACTAAACATCTTCAGCACACTCTTCCACACACTGTTTAAGGTTTTGGGGTTTTGTTTTAAATAGTAACTGTATTCCCCCAAAAAATTGATTTGCCATGTTACTTCTCCGGTTCAAAGTATATAAACATACACAGAAGTGTAAAATTCAACAGTAACCATACTGTATCTGCAGCCCTAAATCTGAAAATATTTATGTGGGTGTATAATTTTGAACAGATTCATATTACAACTGGCTTCATCAGTTATGTTTGTACAATAATAAAATTAACTTCGTTCATTAATATTGATGTAATATAATTTAGTTACATAAGAAATAGGAAGCATAATTTCCACTGAAGTGTCTTACTTAAAAGTTGCTACAAAAAAAGAGCAAACATTATTGCACTCCTCTGTTTTAAAATCTTTGTTGAAAATATAATTCCATTACAACTTTTCCATGGCATTTGAGAAAGACAGAGTTTTGAAGAGATAGAATGAGGAAATAAATTATATTGTGAAATACAAATATCTGCCTAAACTACATTGATCTCAGCAACCCTACTCCCTGACTCCTTTTGCAATTAGATATTAAATAAAGTCAAATTACCTTGAGCAGACATGTCACAAAACAATCCCTTTAAATATTGACTACAGAAAGGCAGATTCCTCACCCTTAAATCAACTCTTTCCTAATACAAAATCCTACTTACTTCTGATTTAGCACCTTGACTTTGGAAATGAGCTAGCAAGATTTTATTCTGAAATTTAGTCCCTTACACTAACCAAGCTAAAATATTCTAACTTGACAGATGCCTTACTGAACACCTACTAAGGCTCACTGTGATTAAATTTACATAATGGTTGCTACTACAAACATTACTCTGCTGACAGTTTTAGTAGAAAAAAAAAAAATATATCTGGGCTGACATTTTTGCACCTCGTTCCTTTCTGAACATTAGCTTTATTTCACAAAGTTTGAGAAAAATTGGCAAAACTTTTTTTTTTGAGTTATGAAACATTTCTACTTTTTTGCAGAAAAGCACCTTTTACCAAGCAAAAGTGAAACTTCACTATTCCTCTGTTGATAGAAAATTCCAACGTTTCCTCCATTTCTTTCACCTTCATTTTTCTTTTACAGATATAAGGAAATGAAACACAAACATAATCTAGTTTGTCCACAATATAATCCATAACTGAAGTCTGAACATTAGAAATGAGAATATTAATGTTCAAATGAGATATTAATTCCTCACTTCTAGTAAATTAATATGTTTTAAAACATATACGAAAAAAATTATCTAGTTTTGAATTGGTAAAGGTTCCTCGAATATTCTTGTTTCTTGATCTTGGGATTTAGAATTGCATGCTATTAAAAATACACTAAAGAAGGGCAGAAAAGACTTTGTAGTTAATATATTCCACACATTCTTCACATTTGTACTGGATCTAGCTTGGTTGGAGTTAATTTTCTTTGCAGTGGCCACATGGTGCTGTGGTTTTTATATGTGACCAAACAGTGTTGATAACACACCAATTTTTTAGCTATTGCTGTATACAGCTTGCATAGCATCAGGGCTTTCTCTGTTTCTCACACTGTCCCCCCACCCTACCCTGGGGAGTACAGTACTGGTGGGCAAGAGTTTGGCAGGGCATGCAGCCAGGACAGCTGACTCAAATTGACCGAGGATGTATTCCACACCATATAATGTCATGCTCTGCAATAAAATCGGAGTGGGGGAGTTTTTCCATTGAAGTTGTTGCTCAGAGGCTGACTGGGCACCAGGCTAATGATGGGAGGTTGCAAGTGATTGCCTTTGCATCACTTGTTTTTGTGGGTTTTTTTAGTTAGTTGGTTTATTGCTGTAGCGGTGTGTCTTTTCTTTGCTGCTTTTTTTTTTTTGGGGGGGGGGGGGGGGGCAGAGATGGTGGTGTTTGTGTTTCTCATTTCTTTCCTTCACTTATTGAACTGCTAAACTCAACTCACAAGTTTTTCTTGCTTTTGCCCTTCTGATTTGCTTCTCCATCCTGTTGGGGGTGAATGAGCAATCAAGCGGATGGAGGCTTACCTGACAGACAGGTCAACCCACCACAACATTCTACATTCCATAAAAAATGGCCCAACTAATTGCTTATCAAAATATTAACTAAACAGACCACATTTTTTAAAAAAATAACATTTTAAAGATAAAACCTGGAGCTAGTCAAACATTTAAGAACAGAAAAAACTTAATAAATGTGAATCCTACAAAAACTGAGCAATAAGTATTACTGAAACGTTATGCCTACCAAAAATGCAGCTACTAGAGATTAAATTATTACGCTATTCTGAACCTGTGGGCAGTCAGATCAATGTATTATCAATTTATAAATAAGACATGCAGTAATACTTGTTGTGCCATTATATTAAAGAACCTAGTCTAACACAAAAAAAAAAAATACAATTAAGTCAGTATTTTACATTTAGATAAAACTAAAGACTGTAGCTTTGTGAATTCTTAAATCCATTCTGTTTATTGCAAACTATGAGAACATATTAAGACAGGCTAGTCTCATTAATGGCACATTGCATTAGTAAAACATTATGTTACCAAATGATATGTACAACGTACATTCATACTGAAGCATGGCAAATATAGAAACTGAATTTGTTTGACAGACTAGCATATATTTTCATATGTAAAAATTACTAGGTGATATTCCGTCATGCTCTGACTGGGGGGGGAAAATCAAAACCAAAACACCCCTTATCCTTTTGGATTTTTCATCCCTATTTATCAATTCATCCCACAGGTCTGACATCCACAGTGTGTTAATAAATATTTCTACACAGTAATTTGAAAAATGAGTTATTATTCTGTACTGAAATAGGATGCAATAGTCTCTATCAAGCCTGAATTATTAAAGTGAAACAAGCATGGATTTAAGCAAAGGGGTAATAACATAATTGCTTATGCAATTTGATAGGGCTACAGAATTGCAGCTTTCTGACTTTGTAAATCATAAATTAGAACCTGTCATAGGATTCAGATCCTTTTTTTCACCATTTCCCACCACTGCTAGAGATGGAGAATGTTGAAGGTTTCTTGAGTGGCAAAGCTGGTCTCCCTTCATTGCGAAGCATGAGGTTTTATCACCAACATCGCGTATCATTTCCTACTGGAGACTGGCCTAAGGACAGTTTATCTGCATTGGGTACCAACCACAATGTACATGCACTAGACATCTCCAGAAATTTCTAGTACAAGTCGTTAAGTCTCTCTCCTAATGCTTTACAGGAGATGACAGTCCATCAGGGCACTACTGGTTTGATAACAGAAGATAAATCCTTTTATGACTATGACACTGATCAGTGTTACAATGTACCATTTTTAAAAAAAATAAAATCCAGATGTATTCCAGTTAAATGAAGACTGATGTTGAATTAGCAAAACCATGCAAGAGATTCCTAAGAACCAGGCTAGATCAGGTGGATAAGTGGCAGGAGGAAAGAGAAGCAAATAAGAATACGGATCAATTCCTAGGTCTCTGTGACTATCTGAAAGGCAAAATATCTCTTGCAAGGAAAAAAGATCTTAATTCCCTTTAAGTACACCTAAGCTTCCGTCTTGGCAGCCTAACTCTAACAGTTCAGGGAACTTTCCCATTTGATTAGAACAGCAAGTGCAATACACACACAAGTAGCAACATTTGATAGTTTAAAAATATATAATTTATCTTTCCTTTTCTGTCATACACAGCCCATATACAGTATATATAAAATAATTCAATTTTCAGGATGTAATATGCAAGCTACAGCAAAATTAAGGATACAAATCAAATCACAGAATAGTTTGGGTTGGAAGGGACCTTTAGAGGTCCTCTAGTCCAACCCCCCGGCCATGGGCAGGGACATCTTCAACTAGATCAGGTCGCTCAGAGCCGCGTCCAGCCTGGCCTTGAACGTTTCCAGGGATGGGGCATCTACCACCTCTCTGGGCAACCTGTGCCAGTGTTTTGCCACCCTCACTGTAAAAAATGTCTTCCTTATATCTAGTCTTTATATCTATAAAAATAGTATGTGACAATAAAGTAGATCACAGCTCACTGCGATCAGCTGTCAAAATCCTGTTAAAACTACATTAAACTGAGAATGAGTTATGTTTAATTTAAGGGCAGTGAAAAGCAGTGCTAATAGAGAAGCATGTTAACGTATCACTGGCTTTTTTAACAGCAATATTTCAGTTCCTATTTTTGCTACAAAACCCAACAAATTTGTACAATTAAATTATTATACTATTGTACTTAGGAAACTGAAAGACCTGAGGCAATGGCAGTAATAACGCAGTTGTTAGGTAGATGAATGTTTATCAACTGCTGAATGATAACATGCTTACTGTGCATGTGTGAGAAACTAGAAAACTGACAAAACTTGATTGCTCCTCAAATATAAATACCAATGTTAATTAAAAAGAAGCACAAAAGATTAGTTGAAATAAGGAAAATGGTCCGTTGTCATGACTCCATATTTTTTAAAAAAAATTTCTTTTGCCTTTTTAAGAATAGGATGTTAAAGTGTAGCTGGGAACTTCTGAAATGTGTAAAAAATATCACTCACGTAGTATAATTTTAACTAAGTCCAAACAAATAAGTTGCTTTGATTTCCGCTACTACCAATGCCACAGAAAAAGTACATAACCTTTCAGACAAGGTGTGATACATGCTCTTATCATATGCTTCATCTTCCCCACTTACCATATAATCTTACTAATCAAAACCCATATTCAAGAGCATGAAAAGACAAAACAGGATTTGCAGAAGATCAACTGGATAATTATAGCTTCTACCACATGTTGTAAACTTAACTTACTTTTATTATCTAGCTGAGCCCTGTATTTACTAAATCCTTTTAGCCGTACTCTCTGGCCCAGCAGATCAAGAAACTCTTCAAAAGCTGGTCCTGCCATCTCATTGTTATACATTTCTTCCTCCGTGCTTTGGCCTGCTTTGCAGTAAAGGATACCAATCTTATGTTGAAAACTCAGCTGAAACAAACAAACAAACAAATAAAAGAAAGGAAAATTACAGAAGCAAAACAAAGTCAGTACTAGAATATAAACAATTAGAACATTAACACTGTTATAACCCCTGGCAGAAGTTATCTGAAAGTGAAAAAATAAGTGTTCTGACTTGGGAAACAAAGTCACCGCAGAAAAAAAGAGAAGAAAAGAAAATAAAAACAAAACAACCCCCAACAACTATCTTGACAGAAAACTGGATTGTCACTATCCAAACGTAGATAAAAGTAGTACACGGAGACTTTTAAGTCAGTTATCTATAAAAGCACACACTACTGCATGTTATGAGAACTTTAATTGGCAATTTTTGTATAACTATCATCTTAGGTTCAAAACAAGGTGAGCTTATTTTTCCTTTATTTCTACCCTTTAAAGTTCAGTGCTGTTGGCCCTCAGAACAGTAATTTCTATTAGAAGTGATCTTTTGCCATCCCCATAAAATTGTCCATTGTTAAAAATGATTCCCCATTTTCAAAATTATACTTCAATCTAGAAATCAGTTTGCAGTTGAATAGTTTTGTTAAACAGACTAGAGTCTCAATTCAAGAGCATTAAAAAGAGATAATAACTTCTATAAAAAATAAATATAAAAACTATAAAAAGTTAAGCATAGAAAGAGATGATTACTTCTTGAGCAGAGTATTGTCTTGTTTTCTGAGCTTTTTATGCATACTTAAGACAACAAACAGGAAACCTCCATCTGAATAGATTAGTCCTACTATTCTTAACTGACAACTTTTAGAGCTTCACAAACTGACAGAGACCATCAGTCACCACATTTATCTATATTTATGATTCGAGTCAACTCTCCAGCTGCAGACTTCTCTTAATCTAACTTCATGATTACTGTATAAAATGTGTGTTATGCAAAGACTGTATATATTCCTATTACAGCAAAGGTGACCAGAACAGTCTGCTTCACCTTAGTCATATGTAATGGATTGTCTGCCATGTTAAGTATAATGTAAAACTCAAATCCACAGACATGCTACTGCATTGATGTTTTACCACAGCAATTTTGAGTAAAAGCTATGAGACAACCAAAAGGTACAATCAAGAAAACATACACAGAAAGAAGGAAGTGTCAAAGATATAATTCCAGACTTCAAATAATCCTTAACCTTCCCTCTTCAATAAATGCTCCATTTCTCCATTGTAAATTGAGACTTGTATATAAAACAGTTGCCAACAGTCAAAAAAACCCCTAAACATAAAAAAGAAAACCATTACCCGAATCCTCATTATCCCTGGTGAAAAAAAAGCTTTCACTATGCTTTTACTAACCTAGTCTTCTGGATTTTCATGATGCTACTGCTTTTTTAAGCTAGTATTCTTTCTTTGTCTCCCATGCAATCAAAGATTTAGCTTGACAGCATTCTTGGTTTGACTGTTTACCTTCACGCGCAACCAACAGACAAAAAATCCCCAAGATGTCCAAGTTAACATAGATTTTTGAAGGTCTTAGATAGAATCACTGACACTAAGAATCTCATGCTCAACAGGTAAATAAATTAAAATATATTAAAATACAGGGAAATGCTAGGCTACTAAAGTCAATAGCAAAACACTTCATAAGATCAATTGGGCCCAGAGTTCTCTTACTATGAAGTTAAGCCTGTCAGTGGGACAATTTCTTCTCATTTTAACTAGTACAAACAGGCCTAACTCCATGATTTCAGCACATCTCTATTCACAGCAATGCATACTACAGAATCTGGTCTACTGGTGTAGAAAATCTGCAGCATAGCAGGAATAAGAGTAATGTATGGGAACAGCCCTCCCACCTCTGGTGAGCCCCAATCCATCGACTCCCTTTGATACCTGCTTTATGCAGGGATGAGCCCCTGTGGAACATACTCTGGCAGGAGGCCACTGACCATGGAGCAGTTAGGAACAAAGAACAGGCTTAGTAAGGACATGCATGAGGAATGGTGCTGCAATAAGGTTTCACCCGGGCAGCACAGAACACAGAAGAACTAGGACCTGTGCCAAAGTCTGATGTGGAATGGGAGGGATGACCACCTGAACTAAAAGGAGATTCTGGGTTAGGGACGCACTGCAGGAGCTGCCTGAGTCAGACTGCTGAACTCTGGAGCAGGCCAGGGTTAAGATACCAGTTTGTTCTTGTCATTTCCTTTTGACTGGCATTAGATGCTATTCATCCAGAGTGCTTCTTTATTTGATCTACATTTTGAAGCACTGCCTGGAGAGAGAGTTAGGTATTTAACAAAAGGTTCCAGATTGCACACTGGTGACTATTTTATCAGGGGCAAGATAACATGAACATTTCATGGAGGAAACTGCAAGAGAACTGCTCATGTGAACATTAGATTACAGGAAGCAGTGCTGTTACTTGACACTTCCCAACAGAGACTTAAAATGATTATGAGCACACTGCCACCTCTGTCCCAGCTCTGTGTCAAATAGTTTAGCTGAAACCACAGGGAATTTAAGTTAATTTCCTTGACTTCACACTAGAATTGAGAAGTGCAGAAGTTAAATGCTAATTGAGCCACCAACAATAGAAGCATCAACTAACTGTAGAGAAGCACCTGGGCAAAATATTCAGTCTAGAATTATACAGTCACACTCCTCCATTCTTTCTGAGGACACCAGTCATTCCTGAAGGTGTTCATGAATATCAATACAGTTCTGAACAGGAGTGAAGTATAACTCTATCTTCCAAAACAACCTACCATCTCATGGCTTACACATTGTCCTAGGAGACACTGAAGATGAGGATCTGAATCTCCCCAGCTCAAGGAATAAATTAATCCTGGGTTTACACATCATGAACAACTACTGTAAACACTAGGCAATTATGTACAAATTTGATTCTACCAATACCACTATTCCTAAACAAGGCAGCAGCTGCAAGCTCATTTACAGTAATCTGAACCTCCTACACGTGTGCTAGAAGGACTCATGACTATGAACTTAGAAGACTTAAGCAAAAGGACTCTCATGCCAAGACCATGGGGACTGTGCAGAAGCAGAAATCAAGGTACATTTATAATGTCAATGCCTAAGAAAGTAACTAAATGAGATTTGGCAGGATCTTATGTGGCACATTTAACTGGCATGAAAAATTATCAGAATATTTAAAACTGATAAATTTTGCCAGATTTGAAATGGTACCACATGCTTATTCAAGTCTCTTTAAGGAAATAATTGCAGACAGGGTTCAGATTTCATGATTTCTAAGTTAGAAATTTTACATTTAATGTAACACCAAGAACAATTTAATAATGAGAAAATGATTTCTAAATTCATTTAGTTATTTAGGTATATGATATGTATTAATGCTGCATACCAGTCCTTCCTGACTCGAAATTACTATGTTCTAGTCAGAATAACTCATTACTGAAGCTTGGCATCTTGGCATCTTCTTGTACAGTATAGATTCTTTATCACGAAACAACAACTTGTTGACTTTCATCATGTGAATATTTTAGAGTTTTTCTGGCAAGGAACCTCAAAACATCAGGCACTCAATAGCCACTAAGTATCACTTCAATCAAAGCTCCTTATTTCTTTGGGCTTTTTGTAAACTTTAGCCTTTGGTCTAGAGAGGAGTGAACATTCATATGCCAGAATAAATTGGGAACATACAGATTGTTCATTTCTATATTCAAATTAGGTCAATCATTCAATTTGCATCTACTTTCTACTGTCATTATAGAGACAAACTTCTAGCCACACATCTTTCCTCCATAATCCATACTAGATTTCACTGAAAACTATGAAACTATTAGAAAATTAAATCAAAACACTAAAACAGTCTTCACTCTGCTGAGGTTGCAAAATTTAATATAGATTGCAAACATTTAACACACTGTTATGCAAAATGAACATTATTCTGGTGACATTACTAATCCTCTAGATCATGGTTCATATTTTTAATTTCATGATACTTCAACCAGTCATCACCTTCAGTTGCCAAGCATTACATGTTTTGTATTTGCTTGATTAATAAACTGAAAGCATCAAGTACATAAGAGGATTAAAAGCATAAATGGATCGCATGCCAGTTCTATGCACAGCTTTCTGTTTATGTTCAAGTAATTATCTCATAATAAGCAGCACTTAAGATACATTAATATTACATTTTGCCTGGTGACAGCCCATTTCATAACAAGATTGAATTTTCAGAATTGATCACCCAAAATAAAAATAAGTGCTATATACTGTTGTTTCTCAAAATTAGGAGTTGATGATTAAAGAATTACTTTGGTCAGTTCAATGGACAATCTCCATTTCCAATTCTGAGGAAATACTTATAGTGAATTTGGAAAATATTCAGGTCATGTTAAATAAAGCAGCACTCTATACTGCCTAGAACATACTGCCCCTCTGTGCAGTGTGTATTATGTATTAGATTAACCTAAGCTCACTCTGGAGCTCAAACAGGAAAGACAGAGTACAACAGACAAACTGTTAGATTCAGAACTGACTGCTTCTAATAACCCTTCATTGTTTTACCAAAAGAACTGATAAACACAGAAGAAAATAAGGACATCTGGCAAAATGAATTTTCAGTTAGAAGTCCTCCTCAAAGACAACACTGAACAAAAGTAGTAAAATATACATACAAAACTAGCTTAACAATCCACCCCAAAAAGCAATTCTCTTCCTCTGTCTACATTTACTTGGTTTTGAGCAATTGTTACGGTCACAAGAAAAGACAGAAGAATTCTGGTAGACACCACCAATGTTAGATGCAATCACTACAGTCAAAACTGAATTAACATTAAAAAACTAATTATACCACCATCATAATCAATAGGATCCATCAGCTGATTCAACTTCAACAGATAGATACTGACTTTTGCTTAGAAAGTGCAATCTTCACTTTAAATTAACATTATTTAAAAACATGGTTTTAAAAATTGATTTAAAAGCCATCACAAGCCTGTCCTCCACAAAATATTCAGAAGCTATACATTTAATCGCTAGCTTTGAATTAAGGAGATTCACTTTATTGAACTCAAGAAGCCTCACCATTTTCTCTCCAAATTTAAGCCATATGAATATCTCATTGCCATGCAGCTTATTCAGTAGTCTCAATCATAATTTCGGTTGTTTGAACTCAAAAGCATTCTATTAAGACTACTGCAAGTTAATCAGAAAACATTATTGTAAAAAACAACCCAAAATTTTAGATGTAGTCTTAATACATCATATGCTTTTGTCTCCTTACCTATATATAATATTAATAAAAGATTAGATGTATTTTCGTTTGTATTCAGCATTTTTACACATTGAAGTGCAAATACAGATTGTGATAATCAATTCTCACCAACATTAAAAGTTTAGTTATAATAGTTCTCTCACTCATCTAAAGAGAATCTTCATAGACCGATAACTTTTTTCCTAACCTGCGATGTATTTTTAAAATAATTTGATTAGAAAAGGAAATCTAATTTTCTCAATGAAAACACACAAGTAGCTGCAGTACCAAGAAAGTGAACGTTTTGCATTACAGATCCAGCTTTATTAACATTGCCTGCAAAATATTTAAGATTATTTATTTTCTTAAAATTAATAGTCTTTAAAGAAAAGTAATTTTCTACATACCCCTTGTTCATCTAGTTTAAGCAGTTGATCAGGTACTTTGGGTGAGTTGGAAGCCTGCCTCAGACACTGAATGCTCAGCTCTGGTATTACATACTCTAGTACCTCTTTGAGAGGCAGACCTCTTGCTGTGCCATGCCGGGCAGTGGATGGTATAGCATCTTCTAAAATTGCTCCTCTAAGCGTAGTAAGCTGCAGTAAAGGTAAAACACACAAAACATTTTTAGTTCTAATACTACAATGACTTTTAAAGATACAAAATTCAGGTTTTAGCAAAAGCATGGGAAAAAGAATGGGAAGAAAATGTTCCCTGGTTTTATTTTTTTTAAGCAGTAAAAAGATTACTAAATAACTTTTAAAGAGGAGACAGGCTCTTATTGTCTCAGTGACAAATATATTTTTTGTTTAAAGAAACTCACTGATTACATCATTAACTTATTCTAATTCTGAAGACTATTACTTTTTAAGGAAAAAATACTTAACACAAGAGGAGAAAACTAAAAAGTTTTAATTTTAAAGCCATACTATCCTAGCAGATGCAGTAGTTGAATGTGAGGTTGGACAGGTGACATAAGCCACCGCAAATGACACCTTCATTTAACCCATCCACCTATTTTTTAAATCTTGCTGCTTCATCTTCATTGGATTTGGCAAGAAGCGAGTGATTTCTTACAAGTGAGTCAGCTGAATCACCTCTCTGCACATAGATACAGAGACATTCCTTTTTTTGGCAACAAAAGAAAAAACTAGTCTCCCTCCCCACAAGTTTATATAAATCTGTTTCTGTATGTATTTGGAAAAGCATATGATCACAGAGTTATTAAGAGGTCTAGATAACACTTATGTATGTCTTATTCCCAATAAAGAGCAGTAGTCCCAAGGATTATGAAAATTTATATTTGCTTGCTACAATAACATTCTGTATTTTCATACAAATCAAAGCTAGTTGCTGTGATAAAGAATAAATTAATTTTCAAAAGATACTAATTCACTTGAAATAGAAGTTATGAGATATGTCCTTGCACAATGACCACAAGCTAGCTATTCTTCCAAATAAGACCGCTATTTTTATCAACATATTAATATTCCTTCCAAAAATCGTGTATGTAAAAGTATATAAAAATGTCTCATGGAAAAAAAAACTTCTGAGAAAGTATTCTGAAATGAAACAAAAGATACAGATAAGTCATAATACTAGCTTTCATATTTTTCCTGTCCCTTTTCCCCTACATTTCTTAATCGTTTACTTCTATCATTAGAAACCTAAGATCAAGCAGCTTGATCCAAACTTATCTTCAGCTTTGTTCTTGTCATCTCTTCCCTTGCTTGACCCTTGCAGTTCTCTTCAGCCAACTTACCTCCTTTTGGGTGCCCACTCAAAAAGAGAAAAGTCTTATGCAGTATAGAAGAGGAAAACTTTGTTCCAGGAGCAATTACATTTACTAATGGTACAAGAAACATCCCTTTCCCATTAACAGATTTATTTTCAAAGTTAGCAACATATCCACAGACAAATAACTAGTATCCTAAGCCCTAAGTTAACTTTGCCATTCCTTTGCAGAATTACTGAAGGAACATTACCTCACTTGTCCTGAAAACTATACGATAGTTGAACTGAGATCCTTCTTTCTCCTTGACATCTTCAACCTTCTCCCTCCGAATGCTGATTGCTACAGGTCCAAGATTTTCATCTATTCCAAAGTAGTTCTGATGCTCTTTTGCACAAGAGTGAAGAGAGAATAATGAAGTATGAGTGTCCTAGAAAATGTTCATCAAATCTCATTAAAAATTTCTGCAGCCAGAAAAAAAAATGTTATTTTTAATTAAGTTCTGAGATCTGCAAATACCCTGGCTTGCAATCTTCTGAGCTGCACAGTAAGTATATAAATCACAAAATACTGGCTTTGATGAGCAGAATGGTCACTCATATCACATAACCCAAATTACTGCAACTGCTTTTACTATGAAATAACATAGAATTATTCATTTTGCTTGATGCTACACGAAACTACTTTGGAGAAACTATATCTACAGTAAGTCTCCAATGGAAGCTAACAGTCTTCAAACAAATAAGGTGCTGTGTAGTTTCCCTCATTTCATTCAATTCATTCCAATTTAAAGCTCCACATTCAAAGAAGCAACTCCATAATAACAAGTGAAAACTGAGGCTAGTAACTTTTCAGTCTTTAGTGACCAGTTAAATTCATCCTTGAGCCAACTGGCCCAGTCTGGGAGAGTAAGACACTACCAACAGAAGAGGAAGAGCACATTAAGAGACCATTTAAGCAGACTAGACACACTGAAGTCCATGGGACTAAACAGGATACATGTTGAGGGAACTAGACAGAGTCACTGTAAGGCCACTCTTTACCACCTTTGCAAGGTCATAGTGAATGGTTACATCCACCTTTAAAAAGGGCAAGAAATAGGGTCTGGGAAGCTACAGACTAGTCACCATAAACCTCAGTCCCCAGGGAGATTAAAGAACAAATTCTCATGGAAGACATTTCCAGGCACGTGAAGGACAAAAGGACACTGAAAACAACCTGCATAGATTTACCAGATGTAAATCACACATGACCAACCCAGTTGCTTTTTACAATAAGATGACTGACTTTAAGGATGTGGAAGGAGCAATGAATGTCACCTACTTGTACATTAGCAATGCTTTTTATGCAGTCTCCCATAGTATCCATGTAACTAAACTGAAAAGACATGGTTTGGACATGCGAATTACAAGGTAGACATTAACTGGCTGGAAAGCTGGCCTCAAAGGACTGTGATGAGTAACATGAATTCCAATTAGTGCCCAGTTACTAAAAGGTTTATCAAAAGTTGATAGTGGAGCTGTTACTGTTTAATAGTTTTTTAAATTATCCAAATGATGGAATGGAATACACCCTCAACAAGTTCAGGTACATGACCAAGCTCAAGGAGAGCAATTCACGTATTGGAGGTTAGGGCTGTTGTTGGGTGCAACAGATGAAGGGGAATAACCATCAGGCTTTTAACAAATAAGTAATATGTACATAGGGCATAAACTGAAATGCATAAACCTTGCAGTATTTTACAAAAGCTGGCAAAGGCACTTAACGCATCCACACAGGTAGAGTCCTACAGCTGTAGGGTGTCTGTGCTTCACCTCCCACTTCCCCTTCTCCTGGAGGCAGCTGCTGCTGAGATGGGACAGCTGAGCTGCACGTGAAACAGCTCCTAACCCACTGAAGTTTTCAAACTGACACGTTAAAACAAATTCTCCCTTTGAAAATCTGAGCAAATGGACTGACCAAAACCTTATGAAGGCCAGAGCAGAACAAGCTCATACAACAGCACAGGCTGGGGACCAACTGCCTCAGGAGCAGCTCTGCAGAAAAGTACTGGGGACCCTGGTGAGCAACAGACTGCACAGCATCCAGCAGAACCCCCTGCAGACGTGAAGACTAACCACACTCTGGGCTGCACTAGCTGCATACCAGCACGGCAGAAGAAGACATTATGCCTCTCTATTTGGCACTTTTGAGGCCACGTAAGTAGTGTCCAGTTTTGGACAGAGTGGAACAAGGCTGTCAGTCAACTACCAAGACAATTAGGAGAGGCTGAAGGAGATGAGCTTGTGCAGCCTGGAGAAGAGCAGGTTAAGGGGGGAAATAATTGAAGAATCCCACTAGCTGATGGAGGGTTATAGAGAAGAGAAAGACAGACTCTTCTCTGAGGTACAGAGAGAAGGGACAAGATGCAGCCCTTCCTTGAGGGGAATCAAACACTGGAACAGGTTGCCATGAGAGTTTGTAAAATCTCCATCCTTAGAGATGGTCAAAAGCTAAAGGGCAACTGAACAACCTATTCAGAAACTACCTTTAAAGGCAGCTTTAAAAAGGGAATTAGAGTGGGTGACCTCCAGAAGTGTCTTCCAATCCAATTTATGCTATAAGTTCATATTTTAAATAACAATGAATAGGCTAATTTCTCCTTTTAAGACTGGATTAAAACACACTTTCCTAGCATTTTTGAGCTAGTTTGGTACTTTTTTTTTTTTTTTTTCTTTTATATAATGTATTTATAGAATGTGTAAGGAAGTTTTTGCAAGATGTCTTTCACTGAGAAGTCATCCATACTCTCAGAATGGATACAAAAAGATAAAATTATCTCTACATAAGTGAGAGTCTTATTTGTCAAATCAAGTTTAAGTTTTCAGTAGGCCAGTTTTCATGCTCACCCACTATCTTCCTTCCCCAGCCTGAGCATTCTACCTGCATAGATGAATTATATCTCATGGATTTCCCAGTATTAAATTAAAACTTTGAGCCTTAATGGGCAAATTTATCAAATGGAACAGGATTTTAAAGACCAGAGAGAGAGAGAGATTGATTCAGAAGCCAAATACTTTCAGCAACATAAACAGTCCCCACAGCTGCATATTCAGGCTTTGACAAAAGGTAAACTTCTCAGTTATGGTTTCTATAGCCTTCCATTTTGATGTAAATCTAGAAAAGGGTATTACACAGTTACTAGATTTCTTGCTTGCAGTATTACTGAGCAGAAAAACGCAAGCTTTGCAGATACCTGCTTATTCCCTGTACAATATGAAAGACACAAACCCAAAGACGTAATTTATGTACATTTAAAATATAATATATAAAACAGTTTCTAGAATGGGACTTAAAGAAAATGGAGTAAATTAAAGAATAGCATGGCTACTGATATTCTGGGATTTGGGGAAAACATTTTTAATTCAAGATTTTTTTTAAGTTTCATAAAGTACAAAGTCATTAAGCTCATCTAAACGTATTTATGTTGATATACAAATATTGACTGAAGAGAAGAAAGTAAGTCCTGTTTGCTGGCTGATTAAAGAGAGGTGATAAAATGGTCCTCATTTTGTACTTTTGCATTTTGAGGAATAATCATCAACTTTTCTTCTAATACAGAAGTCTGACATACAAAACTGAGTTAACACCAAAAACTTGCTAAGACCCTACATTTCTTCTAGGACATTTTTTCAGTTTCATATAAGCAGATGGATAAAATAACATATTAAGAACAAGCATCCCTCAAATAAAAAGCACAGCAGTAATAGTCAAGTTTCGAGGTATTATGAAGATAATTGCACAAGGTGAAAAGGGCAAATCATTGATAATAAAAGCATATTTCAATTATCTTTATTAAAAATCATCATAGCTTTTTTTTCCCCTCTTATCCATTTTGATTCCATAAAAATATAGTTCACTAAAGGACACCATTAATAAAACTATGAGATAAAATAAAATATTCCATCTTTTACAAACGTTAACTGAAAACTGAGAAGATATTTTCCATAAACATTAACATATTTTACATCAGTCATGTTGGATTGGATGTTAACAATAGTTACAAAGCTTATAAATATGCAGTATAAAACTACAGCTCATTTCAGAAGATACTGAATTCCAAATCTCGCATTTCTTGAAAGGGAATAGAATAATTAGTGCTACACATGCCAGGGTGTTTCTTCCATGCATCTTAAAACAGAAATAAAACTTGTATGCTGACAAGTGCCAATTATAAAACTCTGAATTAAATCAAATATTCAGAAAGTTATTTCTTTTTCATAGATATCTTGTTAAAGGCAAAGAAAATTGGTGGCATTACATATGTCTCTATACAAGTGACTATTGTTTTCTAAAATTTTTATTTCATCCTTCCACAATTATTTTGCTAAACTCAACTCTGCTATTAAATCTACAATTTAATGATCAGCTAGGACAGCTCACTGTCATGGAAGAGCATCAAGTAAGACTCAGTATGCATATAAATGTCACTTTTTCTTATACGGGAGATCAGCACAGCAGCAAGACATTTTGGCACCCAAAGCAAAATGCCTGTGTTTTTTCCTCTATCCCCAATAAACATTGCTTAGGTGAGAACTGTGTTCAGCTGGAAGTAATCTGGAGATTCCTTACATGCTTGATCCCTTGAGATAGTAGGTACTGAAAATTAAGTTTTTAGTTTCATCCACATTTGCCCTCACTTGCTATCTATCTCATAAGAGCCATGCAAAGCAGATTTCTCTCATGCAGCTTCTGTTACAGCTCTATAGAAAGATAATAGAGAACAGGGCATGACATATATCATTGTAAAGGTGAGAGGCTAACAATTCATTACTGGATATTAAATGTAATTACATCATATTTACTTTGGAAGAACTCTATCTACACAACAGTTAGTAACTAGGACAATAACAATTCAAGTTGCCTAGTATTATACTATGTGGGATAAAACTCTCAGGTACTATTTTTTAACTTTTTAGTACTATATCAATATAAGTATACTTCACTTTTAGTCATGAGATAATATATACATAATAGCAGAATAGAAGTTAATTAAAACTAATTACATTCGCATCAACTTTCCAGAAAGGTCATTAGGTTTGTTTATGGTATATTATTTAAAGTGGTTTTGAGTATTTTTTGTATTTTCATTTTTTAATCCTTCTGACAAGATTTTTCTTAACAAAAAAATGTTCAGAATCTGTAACTCATCCATGATAAAAGCATTTCACAAAGAAGCCTTCTTTCATTTGACTTAATTGCTGTCTTTTTTTTTTCCCCTATACTGCCACCACCTTTGTCCATTGACAATCTTCCATTCATTTCCATCTATGCCAATCTTTTACTCTCTCTACCCCTCAAAAAATAAGCCACTCTTTTGTTACAAGTTTCCCTTCATTCTCTTCCACTCTGACTACCTCAACACTTTTTTATACTTTACAACCTGCCTAGCTTAAAAGTCATTTTGAACCTCTGAATTTACTGCCCATTCCTTCATTAGCTCTGGGTCTTTTTCTTCCTCTTCCATGATAGATCCAGATTCTTTTCTTCCTTGCCTTTTAAATACAGTGTTTATACAGCCAATATGTTCTAGGTGTCTACCATTTTATGAAAACAAGTACTGTACTGGATCTTCTTTCGAGTCCCTTCTTAACAGTCACAGGAGGAAGCAGTACAGCACAGGGCTTATTTCCTGCTGTTCAAATATAGTTAGAAAGCAGAGGAAGTACAATTTCAGGAAAACTCAGGCAGTAATAAACAATCTTTTAAGGACAGAAGCACATTTTTTTTTTCTTTTAATATCAGCAAAAAGACTGAGCTGTAATTCATAATACAGAAAGGACAAGAACAAGCATTTTGGGGTTCTTCCCACAAAACCAGATATTTCACACACATTGCACAATGAAATACTGACTACAGACAGCCAAAGTGGAAACAGTTTATCTGCATAACAATTCATGCCAAGATAATTACTCTGCTGAGAAGAGCACCCTGGCACTTTGCAGTGTGAACATATCCTAAAAGAATAGGGCAAAAGGCTAGGAGAAAGGCATAGAACAATATTCTCTAAGCTGAAAAACTAAATATCATCAGAAGCTCTCTGTTTAAGGAGTATGTATATCTGTATATGGAATGAAAGACCCCCAGAGACACCTGAAGACAGTAGAACCTAGAAGAAGGGAGTCAATAAGTCTCAATAATAAAACATTCTCTTTTGGAGGCACCTTTTAGGAAAAATTATTTCCACTCTGGGTATCAGTATTTCCAATGCATTTACTGCATATAAGTGTCTTTTCCTCCTGCCCACAGAGAAAGTTTGGTTCAAATAAGTTAGTTTACATAGTAATTTAAATGACCCTACACTTAGTGAATTTAAACAAGTATTGCATAACTTTATACACAACCCACTGGTTGTTGAATATCCCTCTGGGAGAGCAAGAAAAACGGGCTTAATTTTAGTAAAAAATTTCAGGATCCCCTGTAATACTTAGGTCTCTCTACAAAGAAGAAGGGGAAAAAATAATTTTTACTAAGCAACTTAAATCTAGTGCATGAATATCTCAGAACAGTTACATTAGAAAAATTTACCTTTTCCATAGAAGAACTTGCGGTAATAATATGCTCCAAGATCAATGTGTTCTATGATGTAACGCTTCACTTTCTCTCTGTGAATGGACTGGTTTTCTCTTGGTACTTCCAGTACTGAAACACCAGCATTTGTGCAATGGGAACTCAGAGATGACTCAAAAGAACAACTTTCACCTGAAGAAAAAGATGCTGAATTTGCCCTAGAAAGTGCAATCCGTCTATCTCCTTCTCCACCAGTTTCATTCCTGAAGTAAGGGCAACTCAATACTAAATCATTGCTTTTCCCATCACCCTCATCAGCATCTAAATTCTCTTTTGAATTGAGGTCCTCTTTGCTTCCCAAAGGAGATTCACAGTTTCCTGTTTGGCCTGCTGGCATCTGAGTTTGTGATGCAGCTGAAGCCCCAGTGGTTATATTTTTTCTTTTTCCTACGTTTACTCTGGTAGCCATTGCTTCATTTATGTTAAACAAAACGCTCTGAACATCATAATGTGCAAAACATTTCTGACAGTTCCAAGAACGAACATTTCTGTCAAGTCTATCATCCAGATCAGATGAAAACTTGAAAGTTTCATGCTCACTTTTAACTGTTCGCAATTTTCTAAATAAAGATGTTTCCACTGCTTCTGATTTCAGTCTCCTCTTGAAAGATTTCTCCCTGTCTCGACCAATAAGTAGGGCACTATCCATATAATCCAAGCCAGAAATCCTGACAAATTCTCCCCTGGAAATCTGCGCAGCAGCATGTAGACTTGGAGAAACTGTAGGATCACAGTGGAAAAACTCAGAAAATCCAAATGGAGCAAGGGTTTTATGTTCAAAATTTTCTACTCGGTATCCTCTTAGCATTGCAAAAAAATTTTCTCCAGACAAGCCTTGTCTATCAATTGAAGAGGTACTACCATATTCTCTGTGAAGAGCTGCTCCAGTATTTGGGTTAACAGCATTCTGGTCTAACACATCTTCAGCATCAATATCACTTATTGTCACATCACTGTTGCTTCTTTGCCTTATGGGATGAAGCCCCCTTTGAGGGGAATGTACAAAAAGATCTCCAATAGAGTATTTTCCCTCCGTAAATTCCAATTCTAGCTCTTCTTGCTGTCCATCACTTTGGTCATTTTGTCCATTTGGAAGTACTGAGCCAACACCTTCGTAACTGGTTGGAGGTCTGTTTTCCCAAGCAGCTTTACTCAGCTCTTTAGAACAATCCTTTTTAGGAGGCCATTCAGATACCCTTGCTCTAACACCCATCTTAGGCACAGCTGGTGTACCATTTGTTTGATTATTTTCAGTTTTGCTAGATGCATTTAAAGAAACAGGAGGACCCATGCTACCATTCAAAGCTTTAAGTTTTCTAGCAAAATAATCATCAGATTGCATGCTTCTTGAAGACTCCCTGAACTTGGAGGAAGTTCTACTAACTTTGTGCTTATCTTCTTGCAAAGATCTTTGATCACTCATGTCCAGTCAGTGGGAGGGGAACCGCTACTATTGCATAAATTTACTGTTACTTCTGTTATTACATTGTCTTTTATGGGCCAATAAACTGGATATAAAAATACAGTCTTCCCAGAAGCGCACGTAGAAACCTCAGTGTACCATTTTTATACAACTTCTGTCAGGAGAGTAATCTTAAAATATTTCCTTCAGTTCAGATGCATTCAGTTCAGTATTAATCCAGACAAATTTCTTTTATCTGTTCATAAAAAAAACAGAGAAAGTATATTAAAATGTTTACAGTCAATAACTGTAAGCTTCCAACATTGCTTGTATATACACAATACCCCATGAAACTGGAACTAATGAGACTTGCTTTGCATGGTTTTCTATATTCTGTCTCCTTAAAACCAGACAAATGCAATAATTCCAGTTTCCCATGTGATGCCTACAGAACACGAGCAGTTTGAACCTGCATCTCTCTCCCGGGCTAACCAGTGCACACACACTGAATAGTGGACCACATTATGCCAAGCAGACTAGCCAAATACAATTCTCTCTGTGTTTCCTTCAATACTGACAGCAACTTAGATGCCTATTCTCTGTCTAATCAGAGCTTTTTTACGTAACATGAAAGAACAAAGCCATCTTTGAGACACCATTTTCAAGTTTGCTTGAAACTGGCTAATACACACAGGAGCTACTGGGGCAAGACTGGTAGGAAACATAAGTAGAATATATGAAACAGAACCTCAGGCAAAGAAAAGTGTTTTGTCCCATTTAAAATATAAATAACCTCTCCACTATGATTAATTCAGTGAATAACTGTATTTCATGCTTTTTTTTACTCTCTCTCCCTAAAGGAGATTTACTTACATTCCTTTATTTGGAGTGTAAACTATTATTTAGCTGTGTAGAACAATTATAACTGTTTCTGTTACACGCTATTCCTCTGATTGGAAAACTAGACTGCTGACTCAGTTACTGTGCTAAAGAACACGTCTGTTGTCTTCCGCAAGTAACAAAAAATAGTAGCCCTATTGATGTGTTAATTTGATTACAAAATTGGAATTGTAAGGATATAAAAATATTCATCAATAGCTTTAATCGTCTTAAGAACGTTCATGACTCTTGCTGTGAAGACGCATTTGCAGGCAGAGCCCATCCTTTAACCAATTCCATAAAACTAGACTACAATAAGAGGTAAGACAGCATGTTATATACTTCCTTTTCAGCTTGTGTTCACTGAACAAACATGCCAACATAATGATCTTTTAAGATGCTGCAAATAAGCATAATATACATCTACCAGAGTTTTTTAAAAAAAAAAAGGTCAGGTCAAATTAGCCTGGAATATGAATTCTCCCCTTATACTTTCACCGAAATAAAGTGATAAGAAGAGCTCAGAAGGTAAGTGTTTTTTCCACTATATTTAATGCCATAAAAATTCTCAAAAAAAACCCCAAAAAGGAGTGAGGCAGGGGGCAAAGGAATAATATAAATCAAAACTTGATTATTTTTCTGCTTCTCAGAAATCAACATGAAATTGTATTTGATACAGCACACTGTAGGACTCTTCTACCATAATGGGTTAATAAACAAGTTAGAGTCACAGTGGCATCATGACTGACAGGGCTTCTATGTAACTATTACTAGGAATGGGAAGTCATAACAATCTATCATTGCAGCTTACTTTCACTACATACAAATTCCTCAGAACTCCTGCTTGATGGTCAACTATGTCAATTAAAACAAAGTTTTTGGTTCCTTACAGGAGTCTAAAAGATTGTTTAAACAACTGACATGTTTATGAAAACAGTATTTCAAAAGCAGCATGTAGGACTTTTAAACATTGACTTTTGAAAATATAGTACAAAAAGGAAAATGTCAGTTACAGAATCATAGAATAGTTTGAGTTGGAAGGGTCCTTCAAGGTCATCTGATCCCAAACCTCTGCCACAGGCAGAGACATTAGACCAGGTTGCCCCAAGCTCCATCCAACCTGGCCTTAAATCCTTCCAGGGAGGGGGCAGCCACAGCTGCTCTGGGAAACCTGTGCCAGTGTCTCACCACCCTCAGAGTGAATAATTTCTTCCTTATATCTAATCAAAATCTACTCTCTAAGTTTAAAACCATTACCCCTTATCCTATCCTTACACTCCCTGATAGAGTCCCTCCCCATCTTTCCTGTAGCCCCTTTTAAGTACTGGAAGGCTGCTATAAGGTCACCCCAGAACCTTCTCTTCTTCAGGTTGAACACCTCCAACTCTCTCAGCCTGTCCTCACAAAGGAGGTGCTCCAGCCCTGCCCCCCCACCCCCCCCACCCCGATCATCTTCATGGCCTCCTCTGGACCTGCTCAAGCAGCTCCATGTCCTTCTTATACTGGGGGGCCCCAGAGCTGGACACGGCAGTCTAGGTTGGGCCTCATGAGATCAGAGTAGAAGGGGAAGAATCCCTCTATCTGCTGGCCACACTCCCATAGTAGTTATCCTTTAAGGTTTTTCTCTTTGCACAGTAAGAATTTGGCAACTCACAAACATAATTTCCCTATAGATGTTCGTACTATTTATTATAAACCAATTTTGTTTGCTGAATTTAATAAACTATTACTTCCACAAAGAATGCTGTCAATATGACCATGAGTACCTTTCTCTTCAGGCCTGTACAGTCCTTTTGGTTAAGTTCTTCACTTCTCTCTCTTCAGCTCATCCTAGCATTTACAAATGGAATCACTGACAGATATGGTCAGAAAAGAAAAGCTGGATGCCTACCCTGCTGTTGTGCTCCTGCCAACCCTTCCCACTAAGGCTGCTGGATGTTATGCAAATAACTTAAGTTCCTTCCACACAGCTACAAAGACTTCCTTCTGAGCTCAATACAGCAGCTGGTTTGTTAGCCACAGTTACAGTTCTTTAACATGGAATGATTCCAAGTTTCCTGGGGACCTGGATATATGCCCACAAATGTTCCCGTGCCAGTAGCAGAGCAATGAATAAGAACTTTACTATTGGACTATCCTGTCAAAAGGAGGCTGTTTGGTAATGCTGCCTCATGTCAGCCTTGATAGATGGAAATGAATTATTTAAGAAGTCTTTCTGTGATCATTTTGTTGATCAAGACTTTGGAAATCTGCCCCTATTATTATGTAATGTTATCATCCTAAAAAGAATGCATAATTTGGATGAAAGCATTAATCTCTACTATTTATCAAGATGACAATTCTATAAACCATGACTCTCAAGCTCTACTAATCTTAAAAAATTGAAAGTGCAATTTGATAAAATAGGAGCATAGGCAGGAATAATATGCTAAAAGCTGAAGATCAGACATTTAATTTGCATTCAATTGATTCTACTCAGCATCTTCTGTGTGCTCAGAGTTTGGTTAGTTTCCAGTCTTCAAAGAAGCACATAGTAGGTAGCAGCGTTACATATTTTGCCAGTAAAGCAAAGTAGCAGTTACAAAATGGCTACTTTATGGGAATCCCAAGTTTGCAATAAAATTCTGCTTTCAGGCCCATACTTTTAAATGAAGAAAAAAACCCCAAAACAAACAAACAAAAAAACCACCCCTACAAAACAAACAAACAAACAAAAAAAAAACAGTGCAAAGGAGAAATTAATATGCTTTGTAAGCTATCTGTTTTCACAAGTTTTGGACCAGATAACCCACTGAACAAATCTGTCATGAGATATCATTTCCTAAAAGTAAGGTTGCCACTAGAAAAAAAGATAATTAATTTCTGAAAAAGAAGGAAAGCATACAAAAGAAGTTTTTTAATGCTAGTTCAAATTTGTTTCAGTTTGCTTACTTTTGAAAGCAGACTACATTAGCAAATGTTTTTAAATTTACATATTTTCAATATATTTATTAACAATATCTATTTCTTAACGATTCCTAAATCGGAACTATCCAATTTTCAGAAGCAAAATGAGGGGTATGCCTGATTTTCAAGCCATACTACTTATTTGTATTCCCAAGTCAGAAAATTCTGGTCACAGTGAACTGTGATATCATATCATAGGCAGTTGATTATGATGTCACACAGGAGAATTATTACTGCAGATAGGAATACAGAAGAGAAAAATGAGTTCTTCATGCATTTGTTTTCATGCAAATGTCTTTAGAAAAGCATGATATTTAAGCATAATTGTCTTTAAATAGAATATTTCTGTCAAAGTTTTCCATGAGGCACAGTGAATATTAAAGGATAACACTAACTATAATTGAGCCATTTATTCATTTTGCAGCTGTGGAAAATGGATTGGAAATAATACAATGAACAAATTATGAGCACAGTTCATGAAAAAAAATGGTTCAAATTATTATACATCAAATTTACAATTAAAGCTATAACTACTACAGTATAAATGGTTACTTCTCATATGCATATTTCAGATACTTGATTAATATGCAGACATAGACAAGAGGCAGAAGCAGCATGGGAAGCTCCTCATTTGACTAATAGCAATATATATGAGCTGCTGTATAGTGAGTATTTGTTGCACACTTCCTTAGTTGTGCTGTATTTCTTCACATTTACAGTTTTGGCTTGCAAGAGAAATTCAAGAGTAGAATCTGAAAAGAATCCTTTGTTGAAATGACAGTTACAGAAATGTATCTACAGAGTAATCCACCAACAATCATTGCAGAGCTTAGCTAATTTGGGGTTTGAGGGGAAAGAGCTACAACTAAGAGTGACAACAGCCTTCATGATTCTCAGTGCTGGTGTAAGACCATCACATTTCTTATCAAAACAGTGGAATTGCACTAGTTTGGGACTGGTGCAAGACTTGGGGTAAAACTAACTAACTAGCTAAATCTTACTCGTTCTTCAAATACAGTTCCCCTCTTCAACAAAGAAAATGGCAGATACATGTAAATATTGAGACAGAGATGCAACATGTAATTTTTCAGCAATGGATCTTTGGAACAGAACTTTGAATTCCACAGCAGTTCGGTACTGTTCAATGAAAGGTTGTTTATTTTTAAGAATGAGACCTCCAATCATAACTCTTCTCCTTCATTCACAGGCTGAGAAAAATCTCATCATCATCTACGGGAATAATTGTATAAGATCTAACAGTAAAAAAACCAGACTCCTCAAAAATGTTATACTTATGTTTATCTTGTTGTAAAGATTACCCACTTGTCACACTGGCTTTTCCAGAGAAAATAATTTAATAACTCACACCACTTTCCAACTACTAAATACTAAACTGGGTGTTTGTTTAAAAAATATGCTACAGCCATTTAC